ACCCCAAGGCACATAATCATTAGATTCACCAGGGTTGAAACGAAGGAGAAAATACTAAGGGCAGCCAGAGAGAAAGGTCAGGTTACCCACAAAGGCAAGCCTATCAGACTTACAGCAGATCTCTCAGCAGAAACTCTACAAGCCAGAAGAGAGTGGGGGCCAATATTCAACATCCTCAAAGAACAGAACCTTCAGCCCAGAATTTCATATCCAGCCAAACTAAGCTTCACAACTGAAGGAAAAATAAAATCTTTTATGAACAAGCAAGTACTCAGAGATTTTATTACCACCAGGCCTGCTTTACAAGAGCTTCCGAAAGAAGCATTACACACAGAAAGAAACAACCGGTATTAGCCATTCTAAAAATACACCAAAAAGTAAAGAGCAACAACATAAAGAAGAATTTACACCAACGAATGGATAAAACAGCCAGTCAACATCAAATGGCAGTAACCCTAAATTTAAATTGACTAAATCCCCCAATCAAAAGACACAACCAAAACCCAATGGCATGTTACATCCAGACCTGTTTCACATGCAAAGATACACAAAGACTCAAAACAAAGGGATGGAGAAAGATTTACCAACCAAATGGAGAGCAAAAATAAATAATAAATAAATAAAAAGCAGGAGTTGCAATTCTCGTATCGGATAAAATAGATTTTAAAGCAACAAAGATATAGTGGTAAAAGGATCAATGCAACAAGAGCTAACGATCCTAACACCCAGATACATAGAGACTTAGATTCAATGAGACAGAAAGTTAATAAGAATATCAAGGACTCGAACTCAGATCCGGAACAAGTAAACTTAATAAATATTTATAGAGCTCTCCACTTTAAATACACAAAATATACATTCTTGTCAATACCACATCACACCTACCCATAAGCTTAAATGAAACATTGATTGGCCATCATTAATACCCAATTTTTTTCAAAATAAAGCAATATTTCCATTTACTCTCCCTCTTTCTCTCCTTTACTTATTTTTTTTTCTTTCCTTCTCTCAAAAAAAAAAAAAGAAAGAAATCAACTTGTAAACCTCTAGATCCAGGTCAGTAATCTCTCTCTCATTGCTTGATTTCCTTATTTCCCTTCCCTTCCCTTCCCTCCCCTCCCCTCCCCTCCCCTCCCCTCCCCTCCCTCCCTCCCTCCCTTCCTTCCTTCCTTCATCCCTTCCTTCCTCCCTACCATCCTTCTTCCCTCCCTTCCTGCCTTCCTCCCCCCACAAAAGAAAAAAAAAAAAAAAAGAATACCTAGGAATGTATTTAACCAAGGAGATGACAGATCTCTACAAGGAGAACTACAAAAGACTGCCAAAAGAAATAAGGCCGGGCGCGGTGGTTCACGCCTATAATCCCAGCACTTTGGGAGGCCAAGGCGGGTGGATCACAAGGTCAAGAGATCAAGACCATCCTGGTCAACATGGTGAAACCCCGTCTCTACTAAAAATACAAAAATTAGCTGGGCATGGTGGTGCGCGCCTGTAGTCCCAGCTACTTGGGAGGCTGAGGTAGGGGAATTACTTGAACCCAGAAGGCGGAGGTTGCGGTGAGCCGAGATCGTGCCATTGCACTCCAGTCTGGATAACAACAGCGAAACTCCATCTCAAAAAAAAAAAAAAAACAAAACAAAGAAATCATGGACGATACAAACAAATGGAAAGTCATCCCATGCTCATGAATTGGAAGAATCAATATTGTGAAAATGATCATACTGCCCAAAACAATCTACAGACTAAATGCAATTCCCAATAAAACACCAACATCATTTTTCACAGAATTAGAACAATCCTAAAATTCTTCCTCTTCCTCCAGACAATCTGGAAACATCACATTACCAGACTTCAAATACACTGCAAGCCTATAGCTACCAGAATGGCATGGTACTGGTATAAAAGTAGGCACATAGACCAATGACAGAATAGAGAACCCAGAAATAAAGCCAACTGCTCTTTTACAAAGCACACAAAAACAAAAATTGGGGAATGGACACCCTATTTAATGAATGGTGCTAGGAAAACTGGCTAGCCACATGAAAAATGAAACTGGATCCCTATCTTTCACCCTATACAAAAATCAACTCAAGCTGATCAAAGACTTAAATATAACACCTGAATCTATAAAATTTCTACAACACTGGAAAAAGTCTTCTAGACATTGGCCTGGGCAAAGAACTCATGACTAAGACTCCAAAAACAAATGCAACAAAAACAAAAATAAATGAGACCTAATTAAACTAAAAAGCTTCTGAACAGCAAAAGAAATAATCAACAGAGTAACAGACAACCCACAGAATGGGAGAAAATATCTGCAAACTATGCATCCAACAAAGGACTAGTATCCAGAATCTATAAGAACTCAAATCACAAAGAAAAAAAAATTACATTAAAAAGTGGGCAAAGGACCGAGCGCAGTGGCTCACGCCTGTAATCCCAACACTTTGGGAGGCTGAGGTGGGTGGATCACTTGAGGTCAGGAGTTCGAGACCAGCCTGACCAATAAACCAACCCCATCTTTATTTAAAAAAAAAAAAAAAAAAGTGGGCGAAGGACATGAATAGACATTTTTCAAAAGAAGATACACAAATGGGCAACAAACATGAAAAAAATGTTCAATATCATTAATCATCAGGGAAACGCAAACTAACCACAATGAGATACCACCTTGCTCCTACAAGAATGGTCATTATTAAAACGTCCATTTTTCTAGGTGAAGTAACAGGAGTGGAAAACCAAAAGCTGTATATTCTCACTTTATAAGTGGGAGCTAAGCTATGACTATGCAAAGGCATAGGTACGAAGTGACATAATGAACTTTAGAGACTCAAAAAAAGGAGGGTGAAAGAGTTAGGAATAAAAAACTACACATTAGGTACAGTGTACATTGCTTAGGTGACTAAAATCTCAGAATTCACCACCATATAATTCATTCATGTAACAAAACACCACCTGTACTCCAAAAGCTATCAAAATTTTATTTTATGTTTTGGAGATAGAGTCTTGCTCTGTCACTCAGGCTGGAGTACAGTGTCATGATCTCGGCTCACTACAACCTCCGCTTCCCAGGTTCAAGCGATTCTCCTGCCTCAGCCTCCCAAGTAGCTGGGACTACAGGAGCGCACCACCACAACCGGCTAATTTTTGTATTTTTAGTAGAGACAGGGTATCGCCATGTTGGCCAGGCTGGTTTCAAACTCCTGACCTCAAGTGATCCACCCACCTCAACCTCCCAAAGTGCTGGGTTTACGGATGTGAGTCACTGTGCCCAGCTGAAATTTTTTAAATAGAAGGAACAGTCTGGCCACCGGTTAGCTCAGTTGGTGAGCTCCTGGTGCTCAACTGCCCAAGGCCGAACGCTCAAAAAAGGAGGAACAGGTGAAATAGATTATGGAGAGCCATACAAGAAAGTGTTATGTGGTTATTAAAAATGAGCCAGCTTTTTTGTTTTCTTTAGCCATATATGAAACCATCTCTAACACAAATTAGGTGGAAAAAAAAAAAAAAGCAAAGGGAAAAACTGCATAATCTGCAGCCATATATGTAAAATATGCACTATAGAATATCTTTGAAAGGACACTCAAAGAAGTAGAAAACAGTGACTGCTTCCTGGATGAAGAGCTGGGACACAGCAGAGGACTTACTTTTCAATGTACCTTTAGCTCTTTTAGAAATGAGCATATATCATCTATTCAAGAGGCAGATTTTTAAAGTTTTCGTAAAAAGCTAAGTAACGCCCAGAGTAACCAGACAAATTTCTTAACTTTGTCCAAGTGATAAATATATACTGGTGAACCAGAACTGTTTTTTTTTTTTTCTTTTTTAACATTCTCTGTTAGCAACCACTTTCAAAAAACTAGAAAATCATTCTTGGTTCTCCAAACCATCTCCACCCAGTGAGTCAGTTAGTAAAAGGGCTGGGTCTCACTGTTTCTCATAGATGGCATGAAGCCCAGGAACCCAAGGGGCAGCTGTTGCAAATTTATGGAGGGGGAAAAACACACGAAACAGGAAGGGTGACTGAAGATACGCAACAGCGAATACAACTTTGCAAAACCGGTAGGATCATTTAAATCAGTCAGCGATTTGGAGAAAGAAAGTGGAGGCATGGCTAGTCCTCTGCACCGACAGGTAGGTAGCCACCCACCAGTGAGGACTGAAAGGCAGTCCTCATTGAAAAGGACTTAAAGTTTGCCGTGGCCAAAATTATCTCTTCTACCTATTTAGTGCTTGAAACTTTTTCCTTGCCTGGAAGGTAACTCATTACACTCATCAACTAATTCAGACACATTTAGCAGATTAGCTGGCTATCAGCTAGCAAAAATTAGGGGATTTAAGGCAGTCGGAAAATAGCATCATTTCTGTCACTTTAGGATAGACATCACCCATTTACCTCTGCATCGTAGTTTCCTTGGGCAGTGTTTGCACAGGATGAGCTAATTTCAACACATTTGCTGCTGGTTGGGGACCAGGAATCAAATATGGAATGCTATTCTAGAATAGTTTCCAATAACTGCAAACAAGAGTCAGCGTACAACCTTGGCCTGGTTCACTAAGCACAGTAAAAATTTCCCAAGTTTCCCTAAATTCGCTGTGTCACCGGAAAGCACAGCCACCACCAACCAGCCAGACCGCTTTTAGCACTATCCGTGCGTTTCTCTACTCGGCTTCCCGCGAGGCGGCTGGGCCACGCTCCGGCCTCAGCCACTCCACCTGCCCGAGGGCGGGGCGTCACTGGTCCCTGAGATTTCCGTACGGACCGAAGGGCTTCCAGTCTTCCTGCAAGCGGGGCCGGCCGCCTCACCCACGCCACCCCAACACACCCTGGCCGGCAGCCCGGCTCCGAAACGCGCACACCGAGTCGCACTCCTCCGGGAGGTTCACATGGCCCTGCCGCCGAGTCCCACCAGCTCTGGAACGGCGGCACACCGAGCAGGCTGGGGGCGAGACGACAGAGGCGGACGAGGAGTTGGGAAGGGGAGGGGGGCGCCGCGCCTCACCTGACCCCGGCAGCAGCGTCACAGCCAAACCTGGTCGTCTGCAAAATGGAGCCGGGGGCGAGCCCAGGGAGGGCGGGGCGTCTCGCGAGCCCGTTAGGATCGCGGCTGCAGCCGGGAACGCCCCCGGAGCCGGAGAGGGCGGTGCCGGAAGGGGGCTATCCCTGAGCCCCGCCCCTTGGCTCCACCGGATGGAAAAGACGCTCCGTTTGGGTGGCCCACCTGATTTTTACACATTTCTCTATCGCAAGGACCCTGCGCCAATCCCTTTTAAGGCTGCCTCAAGTCACCTAGGAAGTTGCAGCACTCCCGGGAGTAGCCGGGGCCTCTTCAGTGGTGGGCGGCAGAGAAGGGCTGAGACTGGGAGGCTGGTACAGCCTCTTTGCCTCTGAAATGCCGTCCTCCAGGTATTTTCTGGGGACAAAGACGGCATTTTTTATTAGCCTCTTGTGAAAATAATTAATATTTGTGGGAAATCTTAATCGGAACTGGAGATGCACTAATCAGAATCACTCCCGAAGGGAGTTGTTAGGTGATTCTAGGCTCCCCTCGTGTGCTAGAGCATTAAACACACATATTATTAAGTATTTGGGGCAATTACAAGGGTTCAGATCAGTATCTTAAACTCATTAAGGAGTTCCTATTCCAGAGCAAAAACCAATCAGACATTTTAGAGTGAATTAAGGTAGTTTCTGGGTGTAGTCTCCGGAACAGCAGCATCACCTGGAAACGTGTTAGTAATGCAGATTATTGAACTCCACCTTAGACCTACTGAATCAAACTCCTGCGGTGGTGCCCGGCGATCTGTTTTAATAAGCCCTCCAGGGGGTTCTGATGCGCACTAAAGTTTGCACACCTGATACACATCAACTTATTTATTCCGCCACATACTTTTCTACCCAAAAGCTTCCTCATGGGGGTGGAATAGAATGGATTACGATTTTAAATGGGAATAGCAAGCAAAATATAAATGGCTTCCAAATAGGGGTGTGGAGAGAAAAGTATTTGAGCCAGGTCACTGCCTCATTTAACAATGGTAGACAAAGCTGCACAACTCTTTGGGTGACCAACATTAATTCCCCGAGGCCCAACAGTCTGTCTGCCTGGCAAATAACAGGACTTTCTGTCCTACCTACCCCAGAGACCTCCAGGATTTAAGCATTCCCTGAGAAGGCTTACTATTCTTTATTCTACAGAGTTCCCTTGGTGAGCTTGCCCCAAACCCTCCCTCTGCCTTAATTACCACCATAAGAGGATATTTGCCAAACCTCTTATTTCCAGGCCACTTTTCTGAGTTGCAGGAATAGTCCAATAGTCCACCACGACATTTGCCATTTCATCCTTTCAATTCATGCTTTCTTCCTGGCATAAAAGGCATTCCAGGATCAGAGACCCTTTCCTCATGCTTCCTCTGTCTAGAAAACACTGCTCATCTTTTAACAATTATTCATTTAATTAGACTTATTTCCAAGGTTGCTCATCTCCCTTTTGCTCCAAGAAACTCTTCCTGAGCTGCTTTTTTTGTAATTCAACTGGACCTTTTTTCTTCATTTTTAATTTTTTTGGAGACAGAGTCTCGCTTTATCACCCAGGCTGGAGTGCAGTGGCGCAATCTAGGCTCACTGCAACCTCTGCCTCCAGGTTCAAGCGATTCTCATGCCTCAGCCTCCCGTGTAGCTGGGATTACAGGCATGTGCCACCACACCCAGCTAATTTTTTGTATTTTTAGTAGCGATGGGGTTTTGCCATGTTGGCCAGGCTGGTCTCAAACTTCTGGCCCCAAGAGATCCTCCCGCCTCGGCCTTCTAAAGTGTTGGGATTACAGGCATGAGCCACCATGCCCTGCTTAACATCTCTGAAAGCCATCATATATTCCAGAGTTCATATGAAATAAGAGCTATTATGCTTCTAATATGAACATCCCACTGTGTCAGAGTCTGGGTTTTTTTTTTTTTTTTTTTGAGACAGTCTCTCTCTGTTGCCAAGGCTGGAATACAATGGCACCATCTTGGCTCATTGCAACCTCTGCCTCCCGGGTTCAAGCAATTCTGCCTCAGCCTCCCACATAGCTGGGATTACAGGCGTCCACCACTACCACTAATTTTTTGTATTTTTAAGAGAGATGGGGGTTCGCCATGTTGGCCAGGAGAACTCCTGACCTCAGGTGATCCACCCGCCTCAGCTTTGAGGCTGAGGCGGGTGGATCACCTGAAGCATTCCCAAAGTGCTGGGATACAGGGGTGAGCTACCACACCCGGCCTGGAGTCTCCGATATTTAAGTACACATCCTTTTTCTTTTTGTTCCATTAGAATAGTAATTTTGTCCTGACAATGTATGGAGACATTTGTGGTGTCACAACTCAGGGAAGGTGTTGGGGTTACTAGCATCTAGTGGGTGAAGGTCAAGGATTCTAAACAAAGTACGTTTCCTACAATGCCTACTGTAGGATGCTGCAAGCATCTTACAGTACCTACAACAAGAATTATTCAGCCCTAAAATGTCAATAGTGCTGATGTTAAGAAACCCTGAGTTGGCTGGGCACAGTGGCTCACACCGGTAATCCCAGCACTTTGGGAGGCTGAGTGAGCATATCTCACGGTCAAGAGATCGAGACCATCCTGGCGAACATGGTGAAACCCTGTCTCTACTTAAAAAATACAAAAATTAGTTCGGTGTATGCCTGAAGTCCCAGCTACTCTGGAGGCTGAAGCAGAAGAATCACTTGAACCTGGGGGGCAGAGGAAACCCCGAGTCAGAGTGATATTTCTAAAGAATAAACTGGGTCGTGTTATTCCCATGATTAAACTTCTTTAATAGCTTTTTGCTGGAACCAGAATAAAATCCAAACTTCTGATGATGGTCTATTAGGCCCTAGATAATCTGGTCCCTGCCTACATCCCTCATCTCATCCCTTTTCACTTTCTAATCACTAACCTCTGAACACAGGGTCCTTCGGTTCAAATATACCAAGCTTGTGACCAAATGCACCAGAGTTTCTCAGGACCTTTGTACTTGCTATTGCTTCTGCTGGGAATGTTCTCCATGGTGTCATCTCAAATGTCGTCTCCTAGCTGGGCACAGTGGCTCACACCTGTAATCCTAGCACTTTGGGAGACCAAGGCAGGCAGATCACTTAAACCCAGGAGCTGGAGACTAGCCTGGCAACATGGTGAGACCCCATCTCTACAATAAAATGCAAGAATTAGTGAGGCATGGTAGTATGCACTTGTAATCACAGCTACCTGGGAGGCTCACAGGGGAGAATCACTTGAGCCCAGGAGGCAGAGGTTGCAGTAAGCCAAGATCTTGCTACTCCACTCCAGCCTAAGGCGACAGAGCCAGACTGTCTCAAAAAAATAAAAAATGTCATCTCCTCAGAGAAGTACATCCTGAACATTGTAGCATTAGTAGCTGCCACCAGCACAACCACCACTGCCACCTATGCTCATTATTTAATTTTCCTTATAGCACTTAAAAGCATCTGAAATTCTGTGTTTACTGTTCGTCTCCCCCACTAGAATGTAAGCTCCTCGGGAACAGGGACATCTTTAGAGTCTAGTATTAAGTGTTTGATACATAACTGACTGTCTGATTGACTACAATAGGGCCCCCAAAACCCAAGCCAACTACTTCATCTGGTGATCAACCAAGTCAGATTTATTTCCAACACCTGAAAAAACTGGCTCTGATAGAACTACTGAGAGGATCCCATGTGCTACCCTAAAAGATTTTCAAAGGTAGTTTTGAAAATATTTTTTTCATTTCATATGCTGACATTAGAAAATATAACTCCATTACATTGTCCTTGCTTGTATCAGTCTCCTATTAAGGCAGAAGCCATCTTAGAATCCTCAGCATTTGACAATAAGCTAGGCGGCATTTGGACTTTTTTGTACTACCATCACCACCATTCTACTAAATTGGATGTTTTTGTGCCACTTGTTACTATGTAGTTTTTAATTATATTCTGGCTGACAGATACATCACTCTTCATCCATCACAATCAGTAAACATATCCTGTAGATTTTACTTTCATGTTCTATCTGCAAAATGTCACCACTTACTTGTAGTTAAAAATTACCACTTGCTTTCCATACCTACTGATAGAATCTTAGCTGACACCTATATTGTCTCTCGTCTGAACCATGACAATTGTGTCCTGTCTGGTTTTTCCATCACCAAACCATCTCACACACTAATGCCAGTTCAATCTATGTTACTAAGCAAAATTCAAAATGGTATTATCAAACAATAGCTACTATTAAGGACATACTATTTGCTAGATATTGTATTAAAGATTTAAATATCCTTATTTTTTACATTCTCTAAGATTTAAAAAAATTTGGTAACAGCTTTATTAAAATATAATTAATTCATACAGTGTGTACAATTCAGTGATTTTTAGTACACTCAAGATTTGTATATCCATCACCACAATCAATTTTAGAATGGTTATATCCCATACCCTTTACCAATCACCCTCAATAACCCCATCCTCCCCCTACATATGCAGCCACTAATCTACATTGTCTCCATAGACTTGGCTAATCTTAAGATTTCGTATAAATGAACTTGTACAATATGTGGTCTTTTGTAACCAGCTTTCACATTATAGCATGAATCAGTTATTTTTTTACTTTCATGGTCAAATAATATTTCCTTGTAAGGATTTACATTTTGCTTATCTGTTCATAAGCTGATGGATAGCTGGATTGTTTTTATCTTTTGGCTGTTATGAATAATGCTATGAATATTTACATACATATGATTTCATTTCTCAGGGGTACAAACCTATGAGCGAAACTGCTGAGTCCAATGGTAAGTCAATGTTTAACTTTTTTTTTTTTAAGAGACAGGGTCTTGATTTGTTGCCCAGGCTGGTCTCAAACTCCTGGCTTTAAGCAATATTCCTAGCTCAGCCTCCCAAAGTGCTGGGATTACAGGTGTGAGTCATCATTGCCTGGCCCTCAATGTTTAACTGTTTCAGGAACTGCCAGATTCTTTTCCAAACTGGCTGCATCATTTTATACTCCCACCAGCAGTGTATGAAGGTTACGATTTCTTCACAACCTAATCAACACTTGTTACCATCATTTTTTTTTAATCATAGCCATCACAGTTGGTATGAAGTGGTATCTCATTGTAGTTTTAATTTGTATTTCTTAGTGACTGATGATGTTGAACATCTTTTCATGTACTTATTGGCCATTTGTACATCTTTTTTGGAGAAATGACTGTTCAGATCATTTGCCTATTTTTTAATTGGGTTATTTGCCCTTTTAAGTTATAGGTCCCTTATTAGATATATAATTTATGAATATTTTCTCTGCTTCTTCACTTTTTTTTTTTTTTTTTTTAAAGAATCTCGTTCTGCCACCCAGGCTGGAGTGTGATCACAGCTCACTGCAGCCTCAATCTCCTGGGCTCAAGCGATCTTTCCACCTCAGCCTTTGAAGTAGTGTGACTACAGGCATGCGCCACCACACCCAGCTAATTTTTTCTACTTTTTTTATAGAGATAGGTCTATGTTGCCCAGACTCATCTTGAACTCCTGGGCTTAAGCAGTCTTCCTGTCTTGGCCTCCTAAAATGTTGGGATTACAGGTGTGAGCCACAGTACCTGGCCCAACATTTTAAATTTTGATAGTCTATTTATTTTTATTTGGGTTGCTTGTGGTTTTGGTGTCATATCTAAGAAAACATTGTCTAATACAAGTTCATGAAGATTTACCCTGTATTTTCTTTCAAGAGTTTTAGTTTTATGTATTTGAACCATTCTGAGTTAATCTTTGTATATTATATCAGGTGGGGGTATTACTTTATTATTCTGCACGTGGATATCCAGTTGTCACAACACTGTTTGTTGAAAAGTTTATTCTTTTCCGAATTGTTTATGTAGCCTTGTCAAAAAATCAACGGACCCTAAGGTTTTTTTTCTTTTTTAAAAACAATGTCTCACTTTTTCACACAGGCTGGAGTGTAGTGGCACAATCTTGGCTCACTGCAGCCTTGACCTTCTGGGCTCAAGTGATCCTCCCACCTCAGCCCCTCAAGTAGCCAGGACTACAGGTGCGCGTCACCAAAAAAATTAGCCTGGCTAATTTTTTTGTATTTCTTTTAGAGAAGGGGTTTCGATATGTTGCCCACACTGGTCTCAAACTCCTGAGCTCAAACGATTTGCCTACCTCGGCCTCCCAAAGTGCTGAGTTTACAGGCGTGAACCATCATGCCCTGCTATACTTGTTATGGTCTGAAATGTTTTGTGATCCTCCTCCGCCCCTCTCCCCCCACGCCGCCCCCCAACAAATTTCCATGTTGAAGTTCTAACTTCTGGCTTTAGGAGGTGGGACCTTTGGGAAATGAATAGGTCATGAGGGCAGAGTCCTCAAGAATGGGATTAGTGTCCTTGGAAGAGAGGAAAGAGGGAGCTCAGTCACCCCTTCCATCTTGCACCCCTTCCACAGTAAGAACACGCTGTTCCCAGACACCAAATCTGCCAGTGCCTTTATCTTGGAATTTCCAGCTTCCAGAAATGTGGAAAATAAATTTCTGATGTTTACAAGCCACACGGTTTGCAGTATTTTGTTACAGCAGCCCAAGCAGACTAAGACAATTCTCAATTCTATTGCACTAACATATGTCTATCCTATGCCGGTATCACATTGTCTTTACTATTATTTTGTACAGGTTGAGCATCCCTAATCCAAAAATCTCCAAAATCCAAAGCTTTCTGAGTACTGAGATCCAAAATGTTCCAAAATCTGAAACTTTTGCAGGGCCGACATAGCACTAAAAGGAAATGCTCGCGGGAGCATTTCAGGTTTTCAGATTAGGGATACTGAACTGGTAAGTATATAATGATTACAGGTTTTGAAATTGGGGGCCGGGCACAGTGGCTCATGTCTGTAATCCGAGCACTTTGGGAGGCTAACAAGGGTGGATCTCTTGGGCTCAGGAGTTCAAGACCAGCCTGAGCAACATGGCAAAACCCTGCCTCTACAAAAAATACAAAAATTAGCTAGACATGTTGGTTAGAACTTTTGATCCCAGCTACTTGGGAGGCAGAGGTGGGAGGATCACTTGAGCCTGAGTTGGGGGCGAAGTGAATCAAGATAGGGTCACTGCACTCCAGTCTGGGCAACGGCGAAAAAAGAAATTGGGATGTGTGAGTCCTCCAACTTTGCAAACATTTTCGTTTAACGTCAACATTAATTTGGAGTAGTTGGCATCATCTCCATTTTACAGATGAAGAAACTAAGGCTTAGAGAATTTTAGCTTCCCCCGCGATATAAAATTATTTAATGGCTGCCCCAGGATTCATACTCAGATCTACATAAATCCACAATACTCCTATAATCTGATCTCACTCTACCTTTCAGACTTAATTTGTATTAATCCCTAAATGTGCCTTCAAATATGATTTTCTGCCTCCAAACTTCTTTTTTTTTTTTTTTTTTGAGACAGAGTTTTGCGCTTGTTACCCAGGCTGGAGCACAATGGCGCGACCTCGGCTCACCGCAACCTCCACCTCCTGGGTTCAGGCAATTCTCCTGCCTCAGCCTCCTGAGTAGCTGGGATTACAGGCATGTGCCACCATGCCCAGCTAATTTTTTGTATTTTTAGTAGAGATGGGGTTTCACCATGTTGACCAGAATGGTCTCAATCTGTTGACCTCGTGATCCACCCACCTCAGCCTCCCAAAGTGCTGGGATTACAGGCGTGAGCCACCGCGCCCGGCCTGCCTCCAAACTTCTGGTCCTTCCATCTTGAGTGCCCTGTGCTCTGTTTCATAAAATTCTCACTCAGAATATCTTCGATATCATTTAGCAAAATGATCTCTTTTCACTCTATTTCCTTAGCACTATAAGCCTCTCTCTTGCTTCTTACTCCATATTATACCTTGCAATAAAGGTATTCCCATATACATAAATATTATTTCCCTTCCTAAGAATAAACACCATGTCTCATTCACCTTCCAATCTCTCTGAAGCCAAAATACAATACCTGTAGCATGGCAGGTACTGTCTTGAATGAATATATGAAATTCTAAAATTATCCCTATTAGAATGGGCAATAGTATATGGGTGTGTTGCGTTGATGGACTGTATGTGTGCAAGAGATGGTCATGGCAAGATTGTAGGAATGAATATCTAGGAAATGTCCTAATCCTGAGAGTATGATAAGAAAAGAATATTTACTGGGCACAGTCTCATACCTGTAATCCCAACATTCCAGGTGGCTGAGGTGGGAGGATTGCTTGAGCCCAGGAGTTTGAGACCAACTAGCCTGGGCAACACAAGGAGACCCTGTCTCTAGAAAAAATAAAAAATTAGCTGGGTATGTTGGCATGTGCCTATAAGCCCCAACTACTTAGGAGGATGAGATGGAAGCATACTTGAGCCCAGGAGTTTAAGGCTGCAATGAACTATGATAATGCCACTGCACTCCATCTGTGATGACAGAGCGAGATTCTGTCTCGGGAAAAAAAAAAGAAATAAGATGACATGAGACTAATGTGTGACAGAGTGGCAGGCCCAAACAGAGAAGTGATGCTAATTACTCTGTTGACAAGAGAGGAACTTCCAGTCTTGAGGTGTTATGTGCAGATGAGTAATACCTGCCAGTGAATAGGAAATAAAACAAGTGACTTAAGAAGCCCCAAACTGAGTTTATTGGATATAGAATAGGGGGATAACAAGTAACTCCAGTATATTCAGGTAAAGTCTGATATAGCCTGGGATATCTAAAATACAATACCAGGGCTACTCTAGTATCAGCAGTCACCAACCAAAAATAGGAAAATTAGATATTTCTCTCAAAAAAGCCAGGAAACAGGGCAGTGTACCAATGCTTACAATCTCATCCATGTTCCCAGTGACTTCCCTGACTTGTCCATTCTTGCACCACTTCAAGTCATCAACATATTTCCATTTTTTTTTTTAGCCCAAATTACTGAATGAGAAGAAAGCATTTTTCAGAATAAGGTGGTTCTCATTCTTCTCCTCAGTGCCATCTGGTTCCAGTCAAAAGGTAAACTTCCTCACAAAGAAAGTGTTAGGAACTCTAAGCTCTGGAAAGACCAACATCCAGGCCTCTTCCCACCCACTAAATCTAATATCCTATCTCTAGAAGCTACTGTGGCTAAATTCTTAGAAACCAGTTACATTGGCCAGGCGCAGTAGCTCATGCCTGTAATCCCAGCACTTTGGGAGGCCAAGGCAGGCGGATCAACTGAGGTCAAGGGTTCAATATCAGCCTGCCCAACGTGGCAAAACCCCACCTCTACTAAAAATACAAAAATTAGGCCGGGCGTGGAGGCTCACGCCTGTAATCTCAGCACTTTGGGAGGCTGAAATGGGCAGATCACGAGGTCAGGAGATCGAGTCTGGCCTGGCCAACATGATGAAACCATCTCTATTAAAAATACAAAAATTTAGCTGGGCATGGTGGCGCATGCTTGTAATTTCAGCTACTTGAGAGGCTGAGGCAGGAAAGTAGCTTGAACCAGGGAGTTGGATGTTGCAGTGAGCCAAGATCATGCCACTGCCCTCCAGCCTGGAGACAGAATGAGATTGCATCTCAAAAAAAAATATATATATAGAAATTAGCCAGGTGTGGTGGCATGCACCTGTAATCCCAGCTACTCAGGAGGCTAAGGCAGGAGAACCACTTGAACCTGGGAGGCAGAGGTTGCAGTGAGCTGAGATCATGCCACTACACTCCAGCCTGAGCAACACAGCAAGACTCTGTCTCATAAAAAGAAACCAGTTACATTATACAGGAACCCTCATTCAGCTTAGAATCTTTAGCCACACAGTGAATGAGGTTTAGAATATAGTGTTTTTCAAAGTTGGCAAGAACCTGGCATTATCACGGTAATTGTATAACAACCTCCCCATTTTCCAGATGTCCAGTCATAATCTATTTAAATCCCATCATCCACTTTCTCTTCTAATTGGCTATTACCCAGCTGACAGGAGCTTCCAAGAAACATGATATAGTAGGCACTGCAGTATACTGGCTGCTTGTTGGGGTTGGAATAGACCTGTTCAGGTTTGAGGGACATGAAAGGATTAGCCCCAAAGGCAGTGATATGTGTATCCAGTTCCACCAGAATCTGCAAAGAGGATACCAACTCCTGATGGCTGTAGAAGAGAGAGAAGAAAAATTACTCTACTGATTGTGACAGAGATAAAGGAAAAATTGCTCATGAACCTGACATTTCTGTAATCACCAATTCCCCAAATTGCCTAAGGCTGGACTAGGCAAGGACTATCCTTCCCTCCCAAATGTCTCACTAAATACTCAATTAACTAGCATAGGACTTTGTTCCAAGGGGATGAAAAAGCCATATGCAGAAAAGATGAACATCCTCACCAGAAAGTAGATGAGCAGGAGGAAGCAAAATGAGCTCATTTATATAAAGAGAGGTATAAATCAGGGAAGTATCACAAATAGAAGAGGTCAAAACCTGTAAACAGTAATCAATGCAGGAATCTTATAGTCACGAAGTAGCAGCAGGGTAGGCAGCCAAGCCTCCATCAAGTCTGGGGAGGAATGGAAACCTGTGGGAAAAAAAATGAAAATGGGAATAGGAAAAGACTGAAGCAGACTCTTAAGAGCAAGATATTTCTTTGACCACTCCACCCCTCACCTTGCTTATCCCCAATCATCATCATCATCATCATCCAAGTGAAAAATTCTGAACCCTAGTACATATGGCAAATGATCCAGGAAAGTTGTCATCATATTGTATTTAATGAAATCAAATGAATGGGGTTCCAAAGACAGAAGACACAAGACTCAGGATGGAAAATTCTCAGGAGAGCCACCTAATATTCCCATGAACCAATGACTCTTACCTGGATGGAAAGCCACCACCAAATCTGGATGGTCTGTCTGCCCGGTCTCTACCTGCTCCTCCCAGAAGTCATGGTAGAGGCTCCTGTGGGCACTAAGGTGAATTGTGCCAGGTTCCAGGGGTGAAGTTGAGGTGCTCTGTGAAAAGCCAGCAGCCACGTCTACGCCCACCATGACCACACGGAGCCCAAGGTGCCCAGGAAACATGTAGCCAAGCTCATCATAGTCCCCAGGGCGAGTAAGAAATGTCTCCACATGGGAAGCACCAACCACATGCACTGTGCTTCCCCCAGTCCTCTTAACATCTATCCCCAAGGCCCTAAGTCCTAGGCCTAGAGTCAAGGGCCGTGACAGGACATCTGTCAGCAGCCGCTTCAAAGATCCCTGCAGGACATCTGGGTCTGGCCTTGGCCGTCCTACACTGGCCCATAAGGTGGTCATGGCAGGACTAACTAGCACAGCATCCAGGGTGGCATCTAAGTGTAACCCCTTCATAGAAAACCAGGAGTCCCAGTCCTGTACAGCTTCAGGTGGCCAATGCCAAGGTCCTGAGGGTAGGACAAAATCACCTGTAGGAAAGAAGGAAAAAAAGGGAATTTAATCTTTTCCTGGCTTCAAAATTTCCCCTTCACAAATGATCAATATTCCCTCCATGTTTACTCTGCCAACCTGTGAGCAGGGGTGCCCCATCCTTTGCCCCACTTCCTCATTTTTTCATAACAACATGATTTCATGTATTCCTTTAAATGCAACCAAATATGACCATTATGGCAGAGTTCCCCAACACCACCACTCCACCTGTGACCAGAAGCCATTCCATGAGACGGTCCACAGCCACAAGACGAAGTTCTTGACAAACCCTCCTGTGTGCAGGCCAGTCTGACCTCTGGCACTCTGGTCCACAGTAATAGACATTTCTGCACCTGAGAGAATGAGTTGGAAATAAGTTTTTATACTATAAATGTGATTGGGGTTATCAGGGGAAGGGAACTGATACTCCTGCACCTAGGATAGAAATGGCTAAGGAAGGTAGGGAGAGGAAAGGCAGCTGATGCACCAATTTTGGGGACTACATTTGGCAGATGAGGCAGGAGGGATTGGGAATATAATTATTCTGCCAGAAAGAGTGATACCTTACTCTCTATCTGGAACAACTCTTTTTCTTTTTTTGAGACAGAGTTTCACTCTTGTTACCCAGGCTGGGGTGCAATGGCACGATCTCAGCTCACTGCAACCTCCACCTCCTGGGTTCAAGCAATTCTCCTGCCTCAGCCTCCTGAATAACTGGGACTACAGGCGCGCACCACCATGCCCAGCTAATTTTTGTATTTTTAATAGAGACAGTGTTTCACACCTTGTTGCCCAGGATGGTCTCGATCTCTTGACCTCGTGATCCACCCACCTCGGCCTCCCAAAGTGCTGGGATTATAGGCATGAACTACCATGCCCGGCTGGAACAACTCTTTTTATATCACTTTTAGAAAAAACACAAGTTTACTGCTGTCCTCTCATAACAGGTATGGTTCAATCCCCACATCCCCCAAACAAATGTAGTCTTACTCCTTGAATACTCAAGAGAGAGATAGAGAGGAATGTATTGTGGTTTTTTTTGTCTCACCTCCCGATAACACCAAAAATAAGCAGGATTAGCACACTGTTCTAATCTTTGTAGCTGGATGACAAAAAATTAGGAATAAGCCTTAGGTTATTTTGAAAACTCTCAGATCTTTACTTTTGGAATGAGGTTGTAGTACAGGATCATTTCTTTTTCTTTTCTTTTCTTTTTTTTTTTTTTTTTTTTTTGAGACAGAGTCTTAGTCTGTCATCCAGGCTGGAGGGCAAGGTGGAATCTTGGCTCATGGCAACCTCTGCCTCCTCGGTTCAAGTGATTCTCCTACCTGTCTCTCGAGTAGCTGAGACTAAAGGTGTGTGCCACCTGGTGTGGCTAATTTTTGTATTTTTAGTAAAGACAGCGTTTTGCCATGTTGGCCAGGCTGGTCTTGACTCCTGGTCTCATATGATCCACCTGCCTCAGCCCCGCAAAGTGCTGGGATTACAGGCATAAGTCACCATGACCAGCTATTACAGGGTCATTTCTAAAATGTCTCCCTGTTAGCTCCCCACGAGTCACCTCTTACAGTGCCGGAGAACCTTGGAGTCTGAAAGGCCATTAGGGAGTGCTCTACAGTGAGCACAGAATCGAAATGTGTCTTCCATCCTCTGGAACATTTCTTGAGGACATCGAAATCCAAAGCCTGATACAGGGGTACCCCCATCTACCACCAACCTGCAGAGACAGCATGGAGAAGGAGTGGCAATGGGGAGAGGAATATCTCCAAAATCTCTCAGGTCCCCCATCTTGTCTCCTACACGTTTCTATTTACACCTATGTCTCCCACTGCCATCATTTTCCACTTAAGTGAATATTTCTTCTTTTACAGTAATATAGTAACTGGCAAAAGTCAGGATGAGAAAATCTCTCATTGCAAATATTCCATATTGCCCAAACTGTACTCCCTCTCCACCTTCTGAAATCACTTCTACTAGAGACAGTATATCCCTCTTCCACAGAGCTGGTCACTCACTTGTATTCTTCATAGCTTTTCATGTTCAGCTTTTGAAGAATCAGCTGGGATAGGCCAGGAACATTATTATCCAAGGAGAAGAAGCCAAGTGTGTCAATGCTAGGGCCAGGTTTTAAGGGGGTCAGAGGCACAACGGTCACAATTGTGGGTGGGGCCTTGATGCCAGGAGCCACTAATGAGGGAAGTTTTTTGTGCCTCCGTCGCTGGGACCGTGGAGCCATGGCCTGTCCAGTAATACCTGGAGACTATACACAGAACAGACATGGAATGGAATTTTACAAGCTGGAAATGTGTGAAGTGTTTTCATATGCTTGACCTTTCACTTCTCATTCCAGTCTCTCAGACCCGGGTTATCAGTAAAATTTATTCAGTATTTACTGGTTATGGATCACCATAGGCAGCTACGAAAAAAGGGAAGAAATAATTTTTTGTTGTTGTTGTTGTTTTTTGAGACAGTCTCACTCTGTCGCCCAGGTTGGAGTACAGTGGCGTGATCTTGGCTCACTTCATCTCCCAAGTTCAAGTGATTCTCCTGCCTCAGCCTCCCAATTAGATGGAACTATAGGCATGCATAACCATGCCTGGCTAATTTTTGTATTTTTTTAGTAGAGATGGGGTTTCACCATGTTGGCCAGGATGGTCTTGAACTCCTGACCTCGTGATCTGCCTGCCTTGGCCTCCCAAAGTGCTGGGATTACAGGCTTGAGCTACCGTACCTGAATATAATTTATACATATTAAATCCTATACATGATATACATATGTACGTAAATGCATAGAAAAAGATTTGGCGGGGACATAGAAAACTGGTAACAGTGATTAACTCTGAGTAGGGTAAGAAGGCAGTTAGACAGGAACTGGGCTGATCAAAGGGGACTTTAGACTTATCTGTAATATTTGACTTTTTTATAAAGAGAAGACATTATAATATTTTTAGTATATTTTAAAACTCAATTTAAAAGAGGAAAAAACAATAAAAGTTTTAGTTGTCCAAAGCAACCATTCAGTTGGAGAGTTAGCCAATTTAATCTAGTCAGAGAGATAAAACATTTATTTTGAAAGACCTATTATCACATTTATAAGCAATAAGCCAAGAAGTAAAACTTAAATGCAATATAAAATGTGCACTAAGAGTTATGTAGTTGAGCAAGTTAGAAAAAAAGTTTTGAGGTGAAAGTAAGCCTACACCCACCCACTATCTGGCTGTGACTCTGTGCTGCCCTCCTTCCCCACCTCATCTTCTCCCATGCTTTTCATAAGAGCTGAGTAAACAAAAAGGACCATATGGGAAAAATTAAAATATTCATTTGTTTAATATATATTTACTGAAAACAGATGAAATCATTTACAAAACACTATATATAGAAGCAAATATTAAAAATATATATCTCATCTAAATGTCTTATACAGAGATTAGATGTAGTAGATAATATAAGGTACTGTATAAATCCTACCAGAAAAGTGCAACTAAAGCACTAACGGGAGATCAGAAGAAGAGAATCTCTTCAGTGGTTGGGAATCTCTTCAGTAGCTTTCTTCACGAAGCAGGTAACAGTTGGAATAGACCTTGAAAGATGGGAATATTTGAATACTTGGAAATAAAGAAAAAAAGGAATTCTAAGCACAGAGGAGAAAATAAGCACAAAAATATGGACAGAAACATTCTGCAAATTAATGGAATAGAATGATTTGACTTTGAATGTTTAATGTATAAAGACCTAAACTTAAGAAGTAAAACTATAAAAGTCTATCGGGGAAAGGTTCATGACATAGGTTTGGCAATAATTTCTTGGCTACGATACCAAAAGCAGAGGCAACACCACCACCACCAAAACAGATAAATTGGACAGCAAAATTAAAAACTTTTGTACATCAGAAGATGCTATCAAGAGAGTGAAATGACACCCCAAAGAATGGAAGATATTTGCGTACCATATATCTGATAAGGGGTTAGTAATCAGAATATATAAAGAACTCCCACAACTCAAAAACAAAGAACAAAAAAATCACCAAACAACCCAACTAAAAAGTTGAATAAAATATGTGAATAGACATTTTCCCAAAGAATATATGCAGATGGACAATAAACACAAGAAAATATGCTCAACAGTCATTAGGAAAATGCACATTAGAATCACAGTGAATATTACTTCATACCTACCACTATGGCTATTATCAAAAAAAAACAGAAAATAACAAGTGTTGATGAGGATATGGAGTAATTGGAACCCTTGTACACTGCAGGTGAGAATGTAAAATGGTGTCACCACTAAAGAAAACAATATGGCAGTTCCCCCCAAAAATAAACATATTACTATATTACCCTGCAATTTCATTCTTAGGTACATGCCCAAAATATTTATAAACAGATACTCAAATACTTATATATGAATGTTCATAGCACCTCTATTCACAACAGCTAAAAAGTAAAACAACCCAAAGGTCCGTCAATGGATAAATGGATAAACAAATTGGGATATAAATATACATATGAAGATGTATATTATTCAGTTATAAAAAGAAATGAACTATTAACACATGCTACATTTTAGATGAACTTCAAGAACATGCTAAGTGAAGAAAGTCAGACACAAAAGGTTATATATATATTGTATGATGCCATTTCTATGAAATATCCAGAATAGGTAAACCTAGAGACAGAAAGTAGATTGGTAGTTGCTAAGGGCTGGGAGGAAGAGAAAATGGACAGTAACTGCTTAATGGTTATGGGGTCTTCTTTTGGGGTGATAAAAATGTTTTGGAACAAGACAAAAATGGTGGTTACACATACTGTGAATATACTAAATGCCATTTAATTGCTCACTTTAAAATTATTAATTTTGGTTAGCTGTGGTGGCTCACGCCTATAATCCCAGGACTTCAGGAGGCCAAGGTGGGTGGATCACGAGGTCAGGAGTTCAAGACCAGCCTGGCCAACACGGTAAAACCCTGTCTCTACTAAAAAACACAAAAATTAGCTGAGCATGGTGGCTCATGCCTATAATCCCAGTTACTTGGGAGGCTGAGGGAGAACTGTTTGAACTGGGACCTGGGAGGTGGAGGTTGCAGTGAGCTGAGATCGTGCCACTGCATTCCAGCCTGGGCTACAGAGCGAGACTCCATCTAAAAAAAAAAATTATTAATTTTATGTTATATGATTTTCACCTCAATTAAAAAAGAAAGGAAGGAAGGTATTCATAGAGATTGAGGGGCTAAAAAGTTATTTATCCCCAGATTAACTGCTTCCAGATACAGAGAAATAAAGGAGGATTAAAAACACTGGCAGTGGTTGGTTTTACTGTGAATGAGGTAACTTTTTAATTTTTTTTTTTTTTTGAGACAGAATCTGTTGCCCAGACTGGAGGCAGTGACATGATCTCAGCTCACTGCAACCTCCACCCTCCGGGTTCAAGCAATTCTCTCGCCTCAGCCTCCTGAGTAGCTGAGACTACAGGCACCTGCCAGCACAACTGGCTAATTTTTTGTATTTTTAGTAGAGATGGGGTTTCCCATGTTAGCCAGGATGGTCTCGATCTCCTGACCTCATGATCTGCCTGCCTCAGCCTCCCAAAGTACTAGGATTACAGGCGTGAGCCACTGCGCCCGGTCGAATGAGGTAAGTACTAAAGTTCAAACCAGGGATCATATTTTGTTACAAAAATGATCTGACATTTGATCCTTTTAGATCAGATCTGTTAGGAAAAACCTCTTCTGATTTCAGAATCATCATGCAGCTGAGGTGTATGCAGATGGCAAAAAGAAGCAAAATGCTCCCAGAATTATTTAGCTCATATTCATATCTTACAACATGACTCAAAAACCCATCCTCAGGTTAATGGAGGAACAACTTTGTATTTTCCTTTGTAATTTCTTTCTCCTCATCCTTATGTTTCCAACCACCCTCAATATCTCCCCTCATTCCATGGGCAAATTAATGGATTGTTTAAGAACAATCCACAGAACAGACAGCTAAGCTCATCTGTGTATCATATCCTATATATTACCTCCAATAAAGAAGAAATGGGACCTAATGGTATCAGATTATTTTAGGGTTTAAGGGTCATGTCCTTTTACTAAAAGAGTAGATGGAATTCCCCTTCACACTTTAGGACCCCATTTCCAACAACTGACCTCATTCTGTCCTTCACTTTTAATCACGTCACATTCTCATTGCATTTTCAGAATCACTGCCATTCTAGAAAAAGCATTTATCTACTCTACTCACCTGCCTCAGGCAAGATATAACACTTTCTTAAATCTTGAAACAATGGACTTTTTAAATAAATAGGTGTGGAAGGAAAGTGTGATCTGAGATAACTCTAGGGTCTTAAATCCCAGAATTTATGACAGATACCTCCCTGAAGTTAAAATACAAAGCTTTTTGCTGCAATGAAAGCAAGCCAATTAAGGTCAGAAAGGTACTGCTTTACTTATCTGCATTTCCCAGGAGAGGTCTTCCTCTAATGGAAGATTAGCTCTTGGCAATCTGGGGGTTGGTTGAATTGGTCAGAAATGAGAAGGATAACAGTTTGGGGAAGAGGAGTGGTGGTGGTAAAATCCCTAATGTCACAGTCTACTCTGTGTCTAGAGCACAATGTTCATGATACAAATCAGTTAGCAGAAAAGTAAGAAGGTGGGTGAGAAGCCAGGTCTTTGATATGCATCTTTGATATACATCATCAGGCTCATGTTTGAGTTTGTATACCCCAGGTCCAGACACAGCTTTTCTGGCTCTAATTTTCTTGCAAAGAGCCCCAGGCTCCTCACTTTTCAAGGGTTATAGACTGAGGGAAACAAAGAAAAAAACAGGGGACATAAGGAAGAAGTTGGAAATAACTGCAGTAAGCCCTTTTAACTTTCCAGAGTCCAGAATGTTCTCCACATAGAAAGCGAATCCCTTTCACTTTTTTCTGGCCATCCCCAGTGACTTAGGCTCTAATTTATTCCCAGTATGAGGGAGAGAAACACCGACACCAAGAACTGGAAAGGAGACATGAACTTGATTGCCGAGAAAAACTTTTATCCTTCATCTCCAAATTACAAGCCAAAATATTAAGCTATTCCTAGACCTAGGTTTCCATCTTTTTCCTTACCACCAAGAACCCCAATCTTCACCTAAACTACAGTCATCTTTTCACTATCTCCAGACAAGGAGTGCTCATCTAATTTTAAGTCACAAAAAAATGCAAAACGTCAGCTGGGCGTGGTGGCTCACGCCTGTAATCCCAACACTTTGGGAGGCCAAGGCAGTTGGATCACCAGAGGTTGGGAGTTCAAGACCAGCCTGACCAACATGGAGAAACCCTTTTCTCTACTAAAAATACAAAAAAATTGAGCCAGGCATGGTGGTGCTTGCCTGTAATCTCGGCTACTCGGCAGGCTGAGGCAGGAGAATCCCTTGAACCCGGGAGGTGGAGGATGCGGTGAGCCGAGATTGCATGACTACCCTCCAGCAAAAAAAAAAAAAAAGCAGAACATATTTGGGGAGGTAAGGAAAAGGGAGAGTGAAACTGGTCATTGAAGATCCTTATAAGGGGATAGGAAAAGAGAAGAGGAGAAATATAGTAAGAACACTGTAATTGTTGCCACATTCAGCTGTTTAATCAGTGATTAACAACACTGCCTGAGGTGATAAATACTTTACTCAATTATAAACTAAGCAAGCAGACAGGTTGGGGGGAGAACTTACCCTGCTAAGTCCTCAGCTTCCTTCCTTCTCTCTTTCCTTCAAGTGAAGTGAGTGCTTGACCTCTTCAGATCTAGGTTGTGACTTACTTGCAGCTGTCCCTTCGTATCACTTTCCTTTGCAAACTGCTGAAATGCTGGGTATCAATGATTAAGTGTGCCCTGCCAACCAGACAGACAAGGCTGAATTCTCCTAATGAGGCAAAGAGGGATCTGTCCCCCTGCCTAATGGCTTTTCTCTTTCTAACCCTTCTCTGCCAAGAGGGCTCAGGACTGTCAACACTCCCAAGTGTTGGCAAGTAAAGGCCAGGCAGGCTGACGAAAAATGAAACCTACTGCTTCTTGGACTTCTCTCACTCAAGGCAATACTTCTGTTCTCAGTTTACAGCTTCAGAAAGAAACCCTTTGGATTAGTGCAGAAGTTAGTATTTGATTGGAAAGGGTAAGCACCTTTCCAACCAAGTAGGAGGAACCAGAGTATCAGGAGCCCTCTGGAGTTCTGTATGTTGATCAAGACACAGATGAGTTCCCCCAGGCCCAGTGTCTTTTTTTTTTTGGTGAGACGGAGTCTTGCACTGTCACCCAGGTTGGAGTACAGTGGCACGATCTCTGCTCGCTACAACCTCCGCCTCCTGGGTTCAAGCGATTCTCCTGCCTGAACCTCCTGAGTAGGTGGGATTACAGGTGCCTGCCACCATGCCCAGCTAATTTTTTGTATTTTTAGTAGAGATGAGGTTTCACCATGTTGGCCAGGCTGGTCCTGAACTCTTGACTTCATGATCCGCTCGCCTTGGCCTCCCAAAGTGCTGGGATTACAGGCGTGAGCCACCACGCCTGGCCCCAGTGTCCTTTTTTAGCATAACAAACACTGTTCAAACAGAACTCAACAATGTCCAATCTAGGATTAAGTACACATATAATACCCAAGAAGGGAGAAAAGAAATGGTCATTTAATGGTACAGAATGAAATCACTACTAGGGAAAACATGCAGAATTAACTTGCAAAATTCACTTTCCCTGAAAGAAGGGTAAGGTAACTGACTCTGAATGAGAGTGTTATCAGGAGCACTCCACCTGTTTAAGAGAGGAATAAATGTTTCTGGGATATTAAACAAAACTAAAATATTGGTTAATGACTAAAAATACACACTATTTCTAGGAAAAGAAGATAGAAAAGAATCGGCTCAACCATCCTCTTATCCCTCCTTGTAATCACAGCTGATCCAGGAAATTCAATTCCACATTCCTATAGCTTCTTTCTACTTAGAGATAACCTACCTGAAGTTGTTAGAGCAGTGGTCCTAAAAGACTGAAAGATCTGACTTTTTTCCCAAAACTTTTTAAAATTTTTACATAAAAAAGTTCTGACTTTCTGTTTATCTGGCCCAGCTCTCACTTACCTGCTTCTGTAAACATCATCAAACTGGGAAACAGAATCACTTGCAAGGAGGTTCCAGAATGTGGCAAACCAAATCCACACAGGAACCCCAAACTGTAGAAAGTACAAACTACAGGCAGGGATGGTGGAAGAAAAGTGTTAAGGATTCAACAAAATACTGCATAACGTTATGTAGAATAGCTGTGGATAAAGGAAAACAGTTGCAACAGCAAAAAACCCTAAATAAAAGAGGGGTAATTCACTTGGGGCAAAAGTTTCAGACCAACTTCAAATTTAATGGGCCTCAAAATTTAGTGAGAACCTCAAATGTTTTAAGTTCTGCTAATAATGACAACTGCAGAAGGTGCAAGACATCAGAGGTTAACTTTTCTGACTCAGAAGTTGTCACTGAATATAAAAGAATAATATAGAAAAAATTTGATGTTGAATACTTACATTTTACCATCACTACGACTTGCTCTGGTAGACATTTAAATTTTTAAAATTACAATTTAAAAAGTCTGAACTTGGCCAGGCACAGTGGCTCACACCTGTAATCCCAGCACTTTGGGAGGCAAAGGTGGGTGGATCATGAGGTCAGGAGATCGAGACCATCCTGGCCAATATGGTGAAACCCTGTCTCTACTAAAACTATAAAAATTAGTCGGGCGTGGTGGCAGGCGCCTGTAATCCCAGCTACTCAGGAGACTGAGGCAGGAGAATCGCTTCAACCGTGGAAGCGGAGGCTTCAGTGAGCCAAGATCACACCACTGCACTCTAGCCTGGGTGACAGAGTGAGACTCTGTCTCAAAGAAAAAAGAAGTCTGAACTTTTCACAATTTGTATTCATCATGAATTTCATTTAAAAACTCTTAATAAAAGGTATGCTGTGAAGTGAATTATGAAGAAAGACTAGAAAGAAGTTCCTATTTAACATGTAGGAAGTGGTCTGTGAGGCACTGTGTGATACTCTATCACTCTTCAGGTATATTGCTTTCCTGAGTTTGGTTCCTTTCTCTTGTTTTCCTCTTAATTTTTACCATCAGTCTATAATTTTTTTTTTGCTGATAATACTTAATGCTCACCGATGATTCCCACAAACACTATATAATGCTAGTTATGCACCAAGGGCTAGGGAAGTTCCTGGCATCTGATATACTAAATGCTTATTTTATTTATTCATTTTTCTATTGGGTCTATTTTAGCCAGATAAACTCTTCACTGAATAGCTTTCATTAAACAACAACAACAGCAATCTTTAAGGTATGGAATGCATAATAACTTTAGAGCAAATTAATGGGCTGCATTGTAAGTTAATATTATGGCAAGTAGAAAGCTGTAATAATTAACAATTTGAGAAGTTCTGTTACCTGGAATTAGGCAAGCGTGTGTGTGTGTGTGTGTTTGTGTGTGTGTATGATTGCCTAATATATTTACATATGTAAGTGTATGTATATGTGTTTGTGTGTGTATTATACATATATATATATACACACATATATAATTATTATTATTTCTTAAAGGGATGGGGTCTTGCTGTGTCGCCCAGGCTATAGTGCAGTGGCACAATCATAGCTCTATGCAGCCTATCACCATGAACTCCTGGGCTCAAGCGATCCTCTTGAGTCTCCCAAAGTGTTTGGATTACAAGCATGAGCCACTGTGCCCCACCTAAATTTTGACTTAATGTTTTATAATGTATTTCATTGTAATTATTGAGAACTATAATTCAAGTTATTATATGATTATATTATATAATTTTGAGCAATATCCTAATATCCCTCAATGTGCAAAATCCTATACTTATTTTGATTATGACAAAGAAGAAAGGAATAGGATAGGAAAATGCAATTATCACTAATATTTTTTCTTATTGTTAGGCCATCCAGTAAATTCCCAATGCCACTGTGACAAGATTCTAGACAATAACATATTTTCCTTTAATTAAAATAAACAGTGATCTTAAGTATTAGATTAAGAGGCCTAAAGTAGGGAAAGTCCTCTAGTGCTCAGTTACTAATGCTCTTGTAAAACAAGTATATAGCAAGCATTTTTTTAAAGGCAAAATTTATAAAGAATTTAGTTAATCAAATCACCATGAACTATCCATGAGATAATCTCAAGAGGATATCCCAGCTCTAGTAACAGGATTTTCTGATTTGGATCAAAAGGCCAAATCAGAGTGCATCTTCTAAATAAAACCCAACACAGAGATAGGAGCAGCGGCCCATGCATGGAATTTATTGTGTGCTACTGTTTATAAAATACTCGAATAGTCCTGCACATGCATAATATTTCCAACTTAGACAGGAGACCATACAGGGTGCACTTTCTGGCAAACAAAACAATAAATGGTTCCGCTGCCTGGAGCTCTGAGTTGTATTCCAGGGCATGAGGGAAGCAGGCCACCAAAGTAAAGGGAAATACCAATCTACAGTGGCAATCAATACAGGTCAATAACTGTGAAAAATTAGCACATGGTTCCATTTAATTTAACCAAGCAGTTCAGTTAACTATCAAAAGAAAAGTTTCAACATGCAGTCTTGACTTTTATGCTTCCACTAACATCTGAATGATTGAACAGAACCATTGCTTCTAGGCTGCATTGCTTAATCAAAAACACTTCCAGAACATTTTAAAATTTCCTTTGCATTAAAACATAAAAATGATAGAAAGCCAGCAGCAAATCACCCTGGTGGCTATTTAAGCAACTTGAGTACTCACAATAAACTAAAATTTCTCATAACATCTAGGTAACCTATACATGTCGTACCTGTACATCATAGGTCTATATATTAAATATTTGCAAAATGAAAACATGCATACACAAAATACATCAAGTTTTACAGACATGATTTGAATTAAAATTTACTTTGACAATGTACAAACTTCTTTTAAAGTACCTTAAATGAGTAATTCTGTAATTCTTCATAATTTTGAAATTTAGAGGTTTTCTTCTTAAATCTCTGGGGTGTAAATCTTAAAAGATATGGGCAAAAAAGATTCTAAATTAGTTTTTGGATTTCTGTTCAAGTAAAAGAGCCTGCCTAGAAATAGGATATGCATTCATAATTAAAAAAATACCAAGACTATGTTACAGAATTAGCCACATTTAAGAACTATAGACCTGAGGTCAACATTTTGTATAAATGCCAACTGGGTTTCTCAGCATTTTGCTCACAATTCAAAATACAGCTAGTAACCTCAGAAATGTATTTTAAGACCATGCTAATTCATCCTTTAAAGACATTTCATGGAAAAAGAAAAGTCCACATTAGCTCTTATGATTGCATTTGAAGTAATGGTTGAAAAACAAAATCTAATTCTACTAAAGGGGAAAAGAAATTTGATTTGTAAACTTAAATGTGTGAACCACAAGCATAAATGGAGGTGTGGATGCCCTCCACTGGAAATTGCCCCAAGCCCCTTGCTCACTGCTCTCCACCTTGGCAGCGATGACCCAATCTTATCAGAAAGCACATGTCCCAGGGCCCACAAGCCTCCATCCAGGAAGGAAGCTGGGGTCTCAGAAGCACAATGATTTCTTCAGAGGGACTGTGACATTTACAGTCAGCTGGGCCGACCCCTCCAGCTCCTCGGGTGATCTGTCCATTTGGGGCCCGAGATGTGAGAGTCCCTGGGAAGTCGTGGGTCACTGGGCAGTATGGTTGCCCGTCCCGTGGTTCTCAGTGGCATGTGCGGTGTTCAGAGAATTGAAACCATCTTGCTGTACAGCATCTTTCCGAGGTGGCATTCTCTCATTGATCCTATCCAAACCCTTTGCCTCTTCAAAACTGCAGATTCTATGTGGTGGAGAGAATCCTCGTATTGCTTAACAAAATGCAAATTTGATAAGTCAGTAATTGAAAAACATTTCTGAGATTTCAAAAACATAATTAATGATTTTTAAGAAGCAAGAAATTAGTAGCTGTAAGTAGCAACACTTAAATCTTACTTTAACTGAATCCTATCCTCATTTCAGTCTTCCCCTTAAAATGTGAAATGTTTAAATCTAACTATAAACATGATAGCTTCATAGATGACAAGTGTTAGCAAAGCCTTTCAAAAAAATTAAAACACACAAAAAATTTTAACCCTTTCCTGCCCCCAAAATCAACCTCCAGGAAATTATCTAAGTCTGACTTTTACTATACCAATTATCTCTTGTATCAGTCCCTAAGATCACCAGTGACTATCATAGTAAGGCAGCAATGAGAGTAGGGGCAAGTGAGGAGGCTAAACAAGGTTAATCCTCAACATACAAATCTGTACCAAGAGCTTGGGAGGAGAAAGAGGTAAAGAAAGGTTAAACTATAGTATATCAGAACTATCTTGGAGGTCAAGGTCAGCTCACTACCACCAATATAACATGAAAAAGGTGGGAAGTGCCTCCAAGAGTTAGATCTGTGTATGGGCAATAGCAAAAAAGTATTTATAATCTCCTATTTTAGGATATATCTTAATTAATGGCCATACTGCACAATCTTTAGAAACTCAAATCAAAATAAATGGCAATTCTCCACCAACTGTAAGGTTTATCATTCACTTCCTCTAGAATGATGCATCCTCCATTATTAAAATGTTCATGGGAAAGATTTTTAAGCAACTAGTTATAATCTGGTTGCTTAATATCTGCAATCCCTAGGACTTAGTCTGTGCATATGAACCAAACAAATGCCTGGGGCTGCAAACACTGAGGAGTGTGAAATACCAAGCCAACACATGATATATATGAATATAATCTTATCCATAAACTATAGCCCAAACTGCAGCCAAAAAAAAAAATGAATAGAAAAGCATTATAGTGACAGTTCCTGTATTCTCAGGCAGGCACACTACTGAAAATGAGTAAAAGCAAACTCACATCTATAACTGGAGGAGGTTTCACTTAAGGAAAAAAAAATCTGAGTAGCATAGAATCATGCAAAATATGGAACAGATCTCTATTTGCAGGTCAGTTGGTAATTTCCATTAAAACAGGCAACTTTATAAAGCTATACTATATAGCGTAACATGCTATACGCTAAAGAAATCAGGAACATTACATTTTGATTGCATATTATACTGGAAAAAAGAAAAAGACTGTCACCATAGATATTAGCCCTTCTGATTTAAAAAAGAAAAATTAAAAAAAAAAGGGGGCTACAGGACTACTAAATTTGATGAGTCAGTGAGTCTGATTCATCTTGGGCTGTGCAAGCTAGGAGTAAAACACACCCACAGGACATTCTCTGATGCCCACCCACACACCACAGATCTCTGCCCAGCACAAGGACTCTGATCATACCTTTTTCAGCCTCAATAGCCTCAACTGTGGCTGTACAGAAGTGAGCAGAGGCATGCAAAATGAATGAGAGAGATGAGAAGGGTCATATTGTACAGCAGAAAAGGCAATGATCACTTAAAATATCACAGTATCCCATACTACATCATCATTTACAATTTAACATAAATAGCACCCAAATTAGAGAGCCCCATCCCAATCCCCAATTCCTGACACAGCACAGGTTACACACAGCACTATGACAACATCACTCAGAGCACAGAACACATAAACCTACTATAAACACAGACACCTCAGCACCCATGCAAATGCACTCCAGTATTAATTACCCATCTTGAATCAGTAATTTGATGGCCTTAGAATTTTCCATTATGTTTATTATATCACATCCATCACAAATCACAGGAAAATGCTCTAGGGTAAAATTATAATAGAATTGTAGCAGAAAAGCAAACAGAAAAGTCTTTTCTTTCATGTCAATGAGAACAACACTCATTACCAGTTGCTTCTCTAAGATGTAAACTAGAAGGGGTCAGCAATGCTTTCCTTGCCACTTCTAATTTATAAGGCAAAACATAAGCCGCAAGAGCTGATATGACTATTAAGGGCAGTAAGTAAAATTTAAGGGCAGTAAACTTGGTGAATTAATCTAAGTAGAACAGTTCTGTGGCTCTGTTCTTTGTGGGAGACCTGAAAGGATTCCTCCTGTCTACAAGGAATTTCCTTTCTATTCTAGTACTGATGTTCCAAATGCCTACAGATATTAACATCTATAGCCTTGAAAAACTCCATTTATACTCAATCAGTTTGTCACAAACTCAAATTTGACTCAGGAAAAGCCTACTAAGCATCTTTCTTACTCATCTACCAATGAAAGAGACGTTAAGGAATGGAAGTGAGGTCTTACAGGCATGAATTCTGATTATTTCATGACATAGACACATAGGTCATATTATAAATAAGACCTATTTCTTGGTATAGTGTGTCACTGGCCCATTTCGAGAATTTCAACATATTTAGTCAAACATTTTGTAGTCAAAGATTCCTTTATTTGCTCATTTCTGGGTTTGAACTATATAAACTCACACTGAGGACCAGGGCGTAAGATAGCAGAGAACAATACTGGCTTACAATATTGTCCATTCCCCCATTACTCAGAATATTTGTAACAGTAATGCCCTTGTCTCTTCTACTTTGCTTCTTCTGCAATAAGGCCAGTTAATTCCCAAAATGATCTTTTAGCAATTAACATGATTTAGAAATAATTTTAACCAAAAAAAATTAATGTAAAAGAAACTGATGAATCTAAGGAATTAAAGTGTACTAAGTTAGAAAATGGTGATCTTAGCTAAACAGTAAAGTGAATTGGGGACCCAAAAGGAAAAGGACGAACACTGAATAAGGGTTAATTTTCCTTGACTATTAAATTCTATTACAAATCGGGCAGGACTTGGAGGATCAAGCCTGTAATTCCAGCACTCTGGACAGCCGAGGTGGAAGGATGGCTTGAGCTTTTGAGCTCAGCCTGGGCAACACATAGAGATACCTCATCTCCCCTCCAGA